CTGTAAACTGCTGTCAATCTATGCATCTATTTGCAAATCTGATTCTGATGACGTCAGTGCCTCACCAGCTATGAACCTCACCGCACGTCACTGCTACAGTTTGTATGTGTAAGGATGCAGAAGTGAAACATTACCTGTAAACTGCTGTCAATCTATGCATCTATTTGCAAATCTGATTCTGATGACGTCAGTGCCTCACCAGCTATGAACCTCACCGCACGTCACTGGGCCAGACAGTGGGAGACCAGGGTTCGAGACTGGTATGGACACAATTTAATTATTTATTTATTTTCGTTCGTTATGAACACGTTTTCTCATGTTACCTCTATTGTTCATCTTATTAAAGCCTTGTTAAAGCCTATTTGTTCGAGTTTCTGAGGTATTTTGACCGCTGCTGCTCCCTGCTCTGGTAACAGCATGCAGAGTGAGCGTAGAGCAGAGCAGGGGGAGGAAAAAAAAGAAGCTGGGACTACGACTCTGCCTCTGGGTCTCTCATATGGTTGTACAACGGAGCTTCTGCTATTATTAGCCATGCTATGGTGAACGCTGGTTTTGGAGGGCAGAGTTAATGTCAACACATTTTTGGAGGGCGTTACCAACAGAGCTCATTAACATAAACAGCTCTTCTGAACAGAAGTCAGAGCAGGCAGAACTAGAAAATGGGAAATTTTATTATCTGAGATAATGTGCATTAAATTGAATGAACATGGTCTGGATAGCCCACAGAACAGCGGAGCTAAACGGGTCAAGGTACAGGTGAGTGGAGTGCAGCAGGACTAACAAACAGTAGAACAAACAAACTACATGCTGTTCTTAGAAAATGACTTAATCCAGGTACGTAACTATTTGTAACTCCATTCTAATCAGCACTGGTTAGGAGGGATTTGTTTGTTCTAATGATTTTAATGTGACCACAGAATCTAGTTTGTGGGTTTTTGTGAACTGGTTCTTTTACCAGCCGTGGTAAAGATATACATTATACTACTTGTTATCTGTGTTTTTTTTTACCTTCATGATCTTGACGTAGACTTTCTCATGCTCCTCTGCAGATCTTGCCAGTTTCATCTTCAGGCTGCTGATTGTCTTCTCTAGCTGCTCWTGATGGTAGCAGATAGCCTTCTGATTACCATCTGTATTGTTCTTCACCTTGGGAAGAAAGAAAAACAACAGATCTACAATCAGAGACTCGTGGCTTTCTTGGAATGTACAAAAAAAMCACCAAATGTCTTTGTTTAGAAAGTGGAGAACTGTCTCTTAATAAACAAAGATGTTAAACTTTGTGAGCACCACTCACACTGTCAGAATGTTGAACATAGTGGGCATAAATCCTCTGGATGCTGTCTTTCAGTTTTTTGGGTTCTTGGATTAAGCCAACACAGTCGTGGAGATCTGACTGAAGTCGCTTCAGAAGTGTCTCCTGATCTTTCACCTGCTCACACAAAGATGGGTAGAAGTACTTCGTCGTAGTCGTAGTATTAATCCAGTTAACACAAGGGGTCAAATTTCCAAAGCTTGCTTATACTCAAAACRAGATTAGAAACTTACACACGTCACTTTTCATGCAATGGTTCTGATTTATAAAACCCAAACTTGGCGTAAAAATGTGCAGTCTCTCACGCCACTTCTGACCCATGCATATGTTCATTTTGGAGACCGAAGCTGGCGACATGGAGGAATGTGAGGAATTATAGCCACACTGCATCATGATCACTCTCAGTTATTTAACTTCACTTCATAATCAAACTTGAATTTTAGACCAACTTTATCACAAGCTTTCTTAACAGTATTATGTATACTTCTGCTGGTCAGCCGTAATGACCTTTCAAATAAAAAAGACCTTCAATAGAAGCAGAAAACCCCTCCCTCTCACTTTGCTTTAATGAAAGACATCTTGGGACATTTAAAATTGGAAAAAATCAAAAAAAAGGGGAAATCTAACATCTTCTACTCCACCTGACAGTCCTTTATAAATTATTTCAACACAAGTATTTGATTGTCTAACTTGGTATGATGTATAAGATGTCCTCTGAAGTTTGTTCTCTTTTTTTTTATTTTTATTTTTTTGAAGGATGCCTTCCTCTCGTTTGGTTTTGTTTTGTATTGTGAAAAAAAAAACCTTCAATAAAGAGAATAAAAAAAGACCTTCTAAGCCAACGTCAATCCTTTTTTTTATTTTGACGGTGCCAACGCCCCCTGGCACCATCAAATCAGGGCAGTTTGACAGTGCCAGGGGGCGTTGACAGCAATATTTTCAAACTGCGGGCGCTGTAAAAYGTTTGCTTGAAGGTAAAATTTTCACCAAAGATTCACAACAACAGCAGTTTAAACTTTGAACTGCTTGTGAAAAATGGGGGTCTGTAACATTAAAACATGCATGGCACTGCAGCTTTCTATATCATGTTTCTCTTCTCATTGGTTTCTATCGAGAATGATAAAAGTTGTTCAATTGAAGAAATATGAAATAGTAGCCTACAGTATAATGTGTGTCTATTTGTTGCTTGAGAAGGATTAATTACCTCCGCCAAGGGCGAGGTAATGTTTTCGGTCTCGTATGTCTGTCTGTCCATCTGTCTGTCTGTCGTTCTATCTGTGGACAACATTACTCAAAAACCTGTGGACGGATTGTCATGAAATTTTTAACATGTGTGGATACTGGGCCAAGGAACACACCTTTAAATTTTGGTGATGTTCCAGATCACGATGCGGATTCAGGAATTTTTTTTCTTTGAACACTCTGACATCAGCAAAGCTGTGATGCTTTCACAKGGCGTGGGTTTCAAAGTGTCCAGCAGGTGGCACTGTAGTATTGGTATGCCCCTTTGTAACTCTATTACAGGATGGGGGGAATTGGTCTTGGCGGAGGTTTGCACTCTCAGAGTGCTTCTAGTTGTTGTTTTTGTTATTTAAAGATTTTATTTTTTGTATTTATTAATTGGAAAAAGGAGCAGATATTGCAAGATTTTTTCTTCTTTCTGCTCCCTTTCATTTTATTCATGATTTGCATTTTTAATGTACAGTATATAGAATTTTTGTTCTTAAAGAAATGAATAAAGTTATCAAACTAAACTAAAACAAATAATTAACATTTAATAAATGTCAAATTATAAGCTACATCTTTAACATTCACGCCAGTTTCTTGCTTTTGAAGTAAAAGAATCAATCATCTCTCTGTTAATGATGATAAAATATTATCGGTTCATTTCTCTTTTAGACCTAAATAGAAATTACGAGATAAAAAATATATTTTGAAGTGTGACTGAGAGTACTTCTGAAATATTTGTAAAACACCCTGTCCTGATACCTGCCTGGTTTCTCCCTGTAGAAAGTTCTAATCTGTCCTTATCTGAGAAGACTCTCCATCATCATGGTCCCTGCAGGATCTGGTCTAGGTCTCCTCCCTGACTTTGCTCTTTGTACTGTGGCAATAAAGATTTATTTTAAATATGTGGAAAGCAAACCAGCAAAACCTCTGCACRGAGACTAAAGAGGATTGGGTTTATCCCCATTAACTAACGAGATGTAATATAGGTAGGCTAACAACAATATTTTATTAAGTAGCTTAACATATTGTCATGTAGGCTATTAAGTCAACAATTTAGCTAACATTATCTGCCTCAAACAGCATGACTCAACTTACATGGTTTGTTTGGAAGAACTGCAAAAGTTTCTTTGCCTTTTGCTTGGTCTGGCTGGTTTCATCTCTGCAGCAGCACGTTTCTGCTCTGAGCCACAGGAGTACACCGGCGCTAACCTAATTTCCCTCTGGGATCATGTTTTTGAATTTAATTGAATTGAATTAGCTCATGGTGCGTTTAAAGACGGCTCGGGAAAACACGTGACCGATTCTTTATAACGGATTAAACTGTTGTAATGGCCGAAAAAGGTGTGGGGGACAGAGGGCAAGGGACATGGTGTTACACCCATATGAACGATAACTGAACAGTTAGTTAAAAATTGCTTCTCCTCCGCTCAGTGCTCTGTCCTTCTCTCCTCCTGTGTGTGTGTGTGTGTGTGTGTGTGTGTGTGTGAGGGTTCAAACAGACTAACACAGACAGAACCTCACTCTGGCTGATGTGCTGCTCTGTAGACGGTCAACTGGACAGACAGACGGTTGACCGTTGGCCAGTTGGCTGCCGAGTTCCTCGGGCCGTCACACCGAGGTGGTCGGCACGAAAAAAGGTGGCACTGCACGTGTGTGTGTGTGTGTGTGTGTGTGAGGGTTCAAACAGACTAACACAGACAGAACCTCACTCTGGCTGATGTGCTGCTCTGTAGACGGTCAACTGGACAGACAGACGGTTGACCGTTGGCCAGTTGGCTGCCGAGTTCCTCGGGCCGTCACACCGAGGTGGTCGGCACGAAAAAAGGTGGCACTGCACGTGTGTGTGTGTGTGTGTGTGTGTGAGGGTTTGTGTGTGTGTGTGTGTGTGTGTGTGTGTGTGTGTGTGT